CTGATGGGTACCCTGTGCACATCGGAAGAGGGTGGTCGATAGAGTATGATAACGCGGAGATTATGAGAGGATGGCTGCTGAACAATCAGCTCAGAAAACTCAAAAGATTCTTTCACACCGGCACTTATCTTCTTCACATGAAGTAAGTCTCGATAAAGAAGAGCTGTTCAGCCACCAATGCGATCAGTACGCGGATGGTCGCAAAGCTTGTAATTTGTAGGGAACAACTCATTTCTAACTGCATCATCATTTGCAGTTAGCCAAGTCTCTGTGATTGCAAGCAGATCTATTTTATATTCACAAACGAAGTCGAAAATTTCAGCTGATTTATTTCTCACAGATCGAGCGTTCATTAAGCAGAATGACAACGGACGTTTGAAATTCCTGACCAAAGGCAAGCGATTCACGACAATGAGGTCGGACGAGTTTCTTGATCGCATAGACGGAGGTGTCTTCCAAATACCATGCGAACAGAGCTTTCATTACACTGTCGATATAAACAAGACTTAGAAGAAAGCAACGGGCAAACTCATGGCTTAGATCGTACGCGGTTTTACACTGGCTAAACTCCGTTTAAAATGACCGGCCCAGCGAGTTAGACTACGAGTAGTCCGCATTATTCCTCAGGGATAGTAGAGCGAGCGAAACGCGAGCGCGCGTAAAAATCACCCCACGCGAGAGGGGTGAGACGCGGCGGTGAGAGAGAAAAATTTTTTCCCTCTCCCCACCGCGTCTCGCTTTTCTCGCGTGAGGTGATTTTCACGCGCGCTCGCGTTTCGCTTGCTCTACTATCCCTGAGGGAAAATGGGGACTACTCGTAGTCTAGGGTGCTTAAGCAACAACGACGAGGACGGCAGTGAAAACATCATTAAAAAATGAATTTGTGTCCTTTCAAACTTTATCGCGTCTTTTTGGAACCGCACAATTCGTGAAACGTAGGCGACTTTTCCTGGAGTTTAATTCTTAAGGGCTTTATCCATGTTCAAATAGAGAAAGGAACATTTGTGGTCGTATGTCCACGTCTTCCATAAAATGTGGCTTTGGGACGTTTCACTTTGTAGTCGTGCAGTGGACGTCAAAGAAATGTTCTAAAAAGCGTGAAGCACGTGCAGAGCAGTTGTTTTACTTACAAAACCAATTGTTTTTTGACGTTGTCGTCATCGTCGTAGTTGCTTTATTAAGCTCCCTATCATATGGAGATGTGGTTACTCCACATAGGCGGGTTACCTCACCGACCTGGGGTCCCACAACCTCTATGTATACAGGCCTAATTTTCGACCGACTGATAAATTTAACCGGACTCTTCCTTCACACGGGGCCGTTCCGTTTAATATATTTGTTCTATTCACAAAGAGCTTTGTAGGGCTAAACGACTAAATTTTCGTACGGTTGGGGTTGGTCTTTTCGGTATTGAATACACGCCTTCAATTTCGAGTCCCAACTCACATGTCATTGTTTCCTGCGACCAATTAGGAGAGAGCAACTCCTACACTGCTCCCGGTACCAAATCGATCCATCAGTAAAGCAACAATAGAATGACAACAATACCGTCAAAAAACACATACAATTTATTTGTAAGCGATATGTTAGTTAAAGTGCATTCCTTCTAGCATTATTCGGTGTGTTCAATTTTTTCCCTACTTTGTTTAACGTAGCCTGCAGTGCAGGCGTTTTCTTCGGGCGCGCAAATGTTTTTGCTCGCGAAAGCGCCATGTTGAAACCTCCCTAAGAGAGGAGGAAATGGGTTCTCCCCTCCCCCTTCCTTTTTTAGCTCTCACACCTACCCTAAGGGTTACTATTTCTACTCTCCCCAATCTTCCACTGTCATAAAATCAAAGATGGCGGCTACAACAATACGAACACGAACAAGGTTTCGCCCACCCAAAATACGCCTGCACTGCGGGCTATGTTTAACGCACATTACACCTACTTAGAGTCATCTCTATGACATAGAGTTCTATTTACATGATTCTATCGTTGGTTATAATATAAGATTTCTTATACTATTCTCTCTGAAACGTCTTCCCTACGAAATTACACTTATTAACGTTGAACTAATTTCATTAAGAGAGCATTTGGTCTTCTCCCTTGTCACTAATTGATAGAAAATCTACATAGGTGGGTTCCACAAACATGTCATACCAAAATACTGAAAATACTGTCTTATGAAGTACGATAAATGCTTTCCATAAAATTGACTTTACTGTGTTTGAAATCCACCCAAACCTTTATCTTGATATAACAAACAAAAATACAGTGACACAGAATTCTTTTTACATACCAAAGTTAGAAATGATTTCTCTAACTATTTAATCCAAAATGTCTAAAAATGTCTAAAATGAAATTATATTCATGTTGTTGATCTATGAACTGTAAACTGCTGTCATTTAGGGAGAATTTGATGTCTCCGCTTTTCCCTTTCAATAGAAAATCTTTACAAAAAATCGGTTCTACGAGAATGTCTTACAAAAATATTGAATATACTGTCTAAGTAGTAGAACAAACGCTTTACGTAAAATTGCCTTTACTTTGTTTTAAATCCACCCGGCCCTTCCCTTCGAATTATCAGTGCTAATTACATGTATAAGTTCAAAACTCTGAACAGAGGGCGCGAATCGACTCCATTCGCAGACCAGATAACCATAGGAAGGGGCATGTATTCGTATTCGGGTCATTTTCCAAAAGCCTAGAATAGTTACTTAGCTTCTGAATTACTTTCACTAATTAACTAATGGAAGGACCCTTCTCAAAGTAACTACAAATTATAAAACTTCCTGTACTTTACAATAATGTAGGTCTTCTCTTATCTTCCCTAAACATTCGTTGAGGCTAGACCCGGCCTCTAATCATGAGATTAACCAACTCATTTAAACTACTTAAAAGTCCTTACTGATAAACGTTTTTTAAGTTAGCAGTTTTCTTCTCTTGAGGCAAATGAGTATACTTGTTAATGTAGTCAAAGAATTGCATGGTTCTGCCCTGGTTCCCCATCTTGAAGATGAACTCAGCCCGGGCGTAGATTCAGTTTTGGTGTTAAGTCAGAGGAGATTTTGCTCCACAGGAGATTGACTTTCTTTCTAGTTTTCTAAGGGAAACAAAGAAATAACAAACACGCTGCAGGTTAAAGAAGACAAGCAAACAGCGAAGGACACAAACGACAGCACAGTTCGTTGGACCTCAGACACTGTGCTTATCAAGTCATCTCATCTAAACCTATATGAGTAAAGACGATTTAACTTAATCTAAAACTTGGCATCTAACGCAAGAGCGCACATGAAGGTAAACTCTTGAAATGTCTCAGAAAGTTAGAGTTAGGTATACCTTGATAACCAAGAGAGGACTCTCTTGTTGATAACTTAAATGTTTCATATAAGCTTTGTCTACACTATGCCGACAGAAACTTATCCAATATGGACGATGTGCTCTCATCACCGGCGCGGCGCAGCTTCGCCCCGATACAGAAATCGCGCCAAAATCACCGTCATGTTTGAACAGAAGTAAGTAAGTCATAACTTTATTTAACCACGGAATCCTTATCACTAAAAAGTGGTCTTCTAAAGAACCGTGCACATTAAACTAAGACTTAAAAATAACAAATATTATTGAAAAAGTCCTATAATAAATGCCTACTAAGAAAATCTTAATGTACAATAGTGGAATAAAAACAATTTAAAGTAGTGGCCTGCTTAGCCTCAGCTGACAGGCTGTTCCATGTTACTGCGCCCCTATAACGAAAACTTTTCTTTAAGGTCTCAGTGTTCTGTCGCGGAATAAACAGGTTATGTTGCGCACCTCGAAGATTATGCCTGTGAATGGTATTAATGCTGGCGAATTTATCAGACGGGTATTCGGGTGCAAGGTTTTTTACACAAAATTTGTAATTTCTAAAGTCAACGAATCGTGCAGACAGTCGCTCCGATAGGGTAAATTCCCGTACTTCTTAGCCCCGTCTCGACCGTAGGGTCGATCTGGGACATTAATACGCACGTCGGGAGTTTTGTAGTTTCTCTAGTTTTTGGCTGAGGCCATTATTACCTATACAGCCCCAGACAGCGCTGCAATAATCGAGATGCGGAAGAATCAATGACTTGTAAATAGTGACAAGGGTACTCTGGGGACATATTGGTCTTAGCCTCCTCAGGGCAGCTAGTAAGTCCCTAATCGGTAAGTTTCTAATCGGTAAGTTGCTATCGGTAAGTCTCTGGAAGAAGCCCTATCCGGTATGGTTTTCGTGCCCGCGAAAAAGCTGTGAACCGTATGATGGTGTGAACAGACTTAGTTACAGAAAGTGTTGGCACTACTGATCACAGGCATCTTTTCTGTGCCTGATGAATGAGGTCAGAAGGCAACAAATCGTTACTTGTATCGTACTTTCTTTATTTTTAAACTGAATGGTCACAATTTTTTACCCTCAAATGTACCATTCACTGACGGTAATTTCAAAACTCAACCAGCTGGCATATGAAACTCACGAGAGGAACCAATTTGCATTCAACTATATTTACTGCAGTTTTGCATTCTAACATTCCAAGCACGTATTTTTACTTTGGAAATAAAGGAAGCTGGAACATAGTGGAAATTGTGAGATACGCCTTAAGCCTTTACTTCTCAACATAAGAGAAGGAGCTAAGCCATGATAATTATTTTCGTTTCTTTAGTTTTTTATTTTGCCGCCATATTTCAAAATTAAAGCTTATATATGATCCCAACTTACTAAAGAGCAAATATTTAATTATAAGCTTTAAGAATAGAAACTAGAAATACGTTTATCGCAACCCCTCGCGAACGAGTAAAGAAAGGGCAGCAGTGTGAATAAATTAAAACCAGCTAACAGGTAAGAAAAAGTAAGGTTAAAACCAAAACCAAAAACAAAAACAAAACAGCCAAAAAAAGGGAAAAACATTTCCTCAACCGGGAGTCCAACCCCGGACCTCCAGCATGCAAAGTCTCCTCGTCCACTGTGCTACGTCACCAAATGTTAAACGGAGAGGGTTAAATTATTATAATAGTACTTTGACAAAGCACTTACCCTGGACCATATTCCACATCTTCTCAACAAGGGCTCCACACTGCTCCTCCCAGTTGTACCTCTCTTCGTAGCTTGCACGCAAAGTTTGAATTTCTTGAAGACGTTGCACTCTTCCTTTTTGCCGAACAGCAGCAATTGCTTTCGTCCATTCCATGGGGTCGTTGGAATTCACCACAAACGATTTTCCTGATGGTAAATCGCGTAATGCATGTGCGAATCCTGAATTGCCACTCACTAGAATGGGGAGACCAGCAGACAACGCCTCCAGAGCTGTTAATCCAAAACCTTCTGTTCTGGATGGCATAATGGCAAGGTCAACCTCACAAAACAATTCTTTTAACCTTTCCTTGCTCTGCACAAACGCTCTGACAATAAGCTGGTCTTTAGCAATTCCAGTCTGAAGCAGGTTTTGGACGACTTCGTCTTGTTTCCCAATGGGAGCGCCCACAAACACCAGGCAGTAAGAGCTATCTTTCAATTCAACAACTGCTTTGGCGGCAATGTCATATCCTTTGAGACTAAAGTCTTCAGAATCGCTAACCTTCAAGCCCTTCTTTATAATTTCACTTTTCAGCCTATGAGTGCTTTTCAACCGGAGGCTGAATAGATTTATTAGAACAAATCTAAATTCGGATTTTAAGAATTCACTGTACCGCTCATGGACGGTATTTCCCTTACCCATTCCGGTGTTCATTTTTTGAGGTGCGACCGGAGCCAAGATGGCGACTCGTTTCGAGACATTTTCGGAAGACGAAATTTGAGCGATAAATGAAGCAGTCATATGTTAACCCCCGTATGTTAAAATCTGGTTTTTCTTTGTCCATGTTGAGGAGAAAAATTATTTTTACGAAGAACCAAAAACAAGACAACCGGCTCTACGTGACATGTTAAGTCATTTCCATGGTTTATACTCTGATAGAACATAGTTCTCGACATATCACAGCGCGAGGATTCGCTGAGTTATTGTAAAAAAGGCATTCGACAACGTCCACAGATCTTTGTGAAAAGTCTTGTTCCTGTATGGAATTCCACCTAATTTATAGGAAAATTTATATATTTATTTATATAGGAACATCTGGTTTAGCATGAAGCTTAGCCTGCGGTGCAGGCGTATTTTGGGCGAGCGAAAGCTGCTTGTTTATGTTCGTAAGGTTGTAATCGCCATCTCTGTTATGACGGAGGATGATTAAGGACCCCGCTCCTCTTGACTCGCCCTATTTTCTCCCCTCTTTTCGAGTTTCAACAGGCGCTTTCGCGAGCGCGCCCGAAGAAAACGCCTGCACTGCAGGCTATATGAAGCTAATTTAAACAGAGTCCTATTACAAGAAGTGAAGATGTTGTTTCAGGACTAACATTGGTTTGAGGTCCTCACGAGAGTCCCTCAGGTCTGTTTGCTTTCGTCACTCCTGTTTTCGGTGGAGCAAAAAGCATTGTGTGAAATGAGGATAGGCATTTTTCCGGCCTTGACTACACGTACGACGCTACTCGACGCTACTCGACGCTCATCAACGCCACCCAGGAGCTCCAAAACTTTGTGGCAGAAATAATAGACATCATCTGGTTGGTATCTTTTCCCCCATGTATGGCTCTTGTCTCAACACTTCCATGATTTTAGCACGCAAGGCATCGATGCCATCACTTTTGGTACTGACACTGTCATCTTCTTGTCCTTAAAAAAATTATTAAACCCAGTAACTGCGTGTACATTACATTACAAAAGGATCAGTTACAAGCTGGTATGACATTATAAATTGTCACCATTTTTCGTTTTCATTGAATAAGAAAAATACTAACTGCTAATTATTCAAATAACATTGTTTATATAGGATTGTAGAAGTTAACACCATAGGAGAAAATTTTTATGTACTGTTTATTTGTTTCTATTATTTTAGTTTGAGTTTTGCGATCTGTTGGCGTGTTTCTGCAAAGTATTTGCTAATTTGATAAATGTCTAGGCGATATCGAATTTTATGGTATTTAAGAGAAGTGGAGATGGGTCGCCTAGGTCGCCAGGGTTTTCTTCTGATCAAGAGGGAATTTAACTACCCTGGGTACCGGAGGTTTTTCTCGCTTGCAGCGGGAATTTTCGTTGTTGGACGAAGGCCGAAGCCATGAGCGGCGAAACGGCGAGAAAAACCTCAGAGGTTTTTCGCGCGGGTGACTATAAAGACTAGACAGAAACCGGAAACCGCGCTAGAAAAGACTCTGGCACCTAGGGTAGAAACAGTTCCTTAATTTATTACCAAGTGTATTAACTAGGGTGACAAAGGAAACATGATCATTGACTTTCAGTGGAAAACGTTAAATTAGTTTTCTAGGGAACAGGTAAACATTGATTTTTCTAGCTTGGAAGAATGTTTTATCTATATAGCTTTATAATCTTATCAGAACCTTATCGGACGACATTTCTACTGGTTTCTCTGTTTTATCGCAGTAAGTTGGGTAGCCTGCGTGGCAGGCGTTTGAACAAGTTGGGATGTCGTTATTTGCTTGCGACTGTACCGAGGTCTGGAGTTCAGTTCTGTTCTTTACAAAATAGCGGGGGGGGGGGGGGGGGGGGGGGGTTTTTTATGTGTTTAAACCTTTAAGGGCTTTGGGGGAGAAAAACCAAAAAACGGAAAAATTTAAAAAAATTTAATTTGGGGAAAACATAAAAAACATTTTGGGGGAAAAGGGGAACCTTCAAAACAATTTATGGAAAAAAAAAACAAATCACGTTCCAATGTTGTGTTCTCTACTTGCGCTTGCCTGTTATGTTTGTGTTGTTTTTGTTTTATGGCCCCCCCCGCCCCGTGCTTTTCTCGCCTTCCCCGCGCCGCCTCCTCTTTGTTTTTTTGTTTTTACATGTGGGGGGGGGGGGGGGGTGGTGAGGTGAGTGCTTTACATGTCTTAAACTCTTAATGCTATTGGGTAGAGACAACCGAAAACAGGTAAACTTCGAAAAAATTCAATTTCGGAGAACATATCAAACAATTTTGGGGAACAAGGGAGAACCTTCAAATCAGTTCAGGGAACAAGAGAACATTGACGTTCTCTCACCAGGAGGTCCTCAGACCGGGAAAGTTTCATCTCAGGATCTAGTAAAGGCGTAAACTGAATGTTTTTTACAGTAGTCACGTTTAATGAAGGAAACAAAATCTCTGAAGAACGGAATTTCGGCCATAGCCATCTCTTTAATTTTGCAATTAACCAATGCACAAGCTTTGTTTAAATTCAAGGATGTCCTTTTGCGCCCGAAGTAGACTAACGCATTGTTACTCTTATAGCTGTACATACAAAGACTATACCTGCAAGGCGCTGCCAAATATACCTCCACATAGATTCGTTTCCCTTTCCCTTCGTGTTGTCAACATTGAAGAATGGCCTGATCACATGCTTTTCATATTCCTTACCAGAAATTCCCCGCTGTATCCGTGATGTAATTACTTTAATGTCCTCAACTGGCATGTCCGCATGTGTACCAACAATGATAACTGGAGGTCGAAGGTAAGCCAGGTCTTCTTTTTTGGTGTTGCCAACACATTCTCCGCCTATTGGTCTGCTACCATGAACCGTAACAAGCCACGACAGTAAATTCTCCATATTCGTTTCACCATTTGGGTTTTCTAAAAAAATATCATGAGTTCCTTGTCTAACACAGAGTTCAGCCAGGGCATCAAGTCGTTTGCTCAGGTTGTGAACAAGAACATACACTCCTCGTGGTGAGAAAAAGACAGGATGAGATGCATAGTAAAGATGTTGTCCTGCAAAATCCCATAACTCTAAGGTTATGAATGGATCCTTTCTGTTGTTATCATGAACAGTTTGTTGACCTTGTGGAAGTATCTGCGTTAAATACTCCGTAGTATATTTTGCAACCTCAGCAGGAATTGTAACTGAAGTTTGATCATCATCATCATCATTATCATAATCACCATCATCATCATCATCACCAGTCACTAGGGAACCCGCACTTTTAACCTGTCTTGTTGAACTGTGTGCTATTGCTTCCTTGGGACGATCTGCAGTCCTGTTACCCTGCGAATAATTTGTTAGTTTAAACGAGACATGCTTACAATGTTGCCGGGAAGCACTAGAAGGAATTGAAGAAATAACAGCAAACTGATCATCACAGGGATCGAAAAACAAAATTCAAAAATTATCTAAATTTACCGTGCCCGATACTTCAGTACTTCGGTTTTTAACAATTTATATTGGGCACAAAAAATATAAATTTTAAAGGCGATGCGCGAGGAACTGTTGAGGCGGGAAAAGTCTCGACTCGTGTGTAAGGTAAGGTAAGTTAAGTTAACAAAGAGCTCACAGAAGAACCAATCAGAGCGGGAAATTTGGTTGGTAACTTAGCAAGATTTCGCCAACTTGGAAGTGCGAATTCAACTGAGCAACGTTGTTCATCCAATTGTTTTTCCCCCGTTGGCATTTAGCGATAGCTACAATATATTTTTTTCTTCTGTTTTCACAGATAGTTTTAATCAAGCTCTTATACACACAAACTTTGTTGAAAAATTGACATACATAAAGTCATTAAATGCATAAATAAATGTTTGAAGATTACTAACCTTTACATTTTTCACGTAGAACACATTTGAGGCCATCATTTCTTTTTCCCTGGATACTTGTCTTGAAGGAAAGAGTTCCTTGAAATTTGAGCAGAAACTTCAGACCAAATCGTATTTTTGCTGTCGACATGCCAGTTTTGAACTCGATTAACATCAATATCACACTTTGAAGGGTCAATTCCTTCAGTGCTTTCTTCTTTTGGGTCAAATGGCACACCCAACAGTGACTTTTTAGGCTAGTTTTTCCAGCACGATCCTGACCGATCAGAAAAATGCGACCCCTGTAAACATTTACAAAGCCATCCCTTAGGGCCTTTTGATACATCTGCACTGTACGTTGTCCTTTGAAGAGAATTTCTTTTGGAACTTCAGCTACAATATAATAAAAAGCGATGCAAATATTATTTTGCAGTTTTAATACAAGTAACAGTGTTAAATGTCAAAGTTTTAAAAGAAAAATTGGCATTCCTAACTCACGATTTACGAGATTAGAGGTCATTATATTGCAGAAATGAACTAAGCAGAAAACAGACTTTAAACATCGTGAGGCTACTTAACTATTAACCCAATTATCATTTCATACCTCCCAACTCAAGCACACTTGCCACATACCAAGGAACAAAACTGACCAGATCGGGCACACTGAAACTGCATGTGGGAAAGCTATGTGTCAGCCGCGCCAAGCAAATATTTTCTCCGAAGTCGTGGTGGAGAAGCTAATCATTTGTTTATTCTTGATTTGGGAGGAGTTTTTGAGCTATTTTGAAAAAATAGCTCATATGTCAGTGGTGTGAGCGTATGTATCTTTGTGGCTTTGTATCTTTGTAACTTTGTATCAGGGTTTGTATGTTCGGATGTTTGTTGCAAGAGCCAATAAGGTTGAAGGTACTATGAGTTGATGCTTAGGAACCAATGAGATCTTGGCATCTATTTAAACATGGCATTGCTAAAGGTCGAACAAGGGCACTTTAAGACC